GTTACCCCCGACACAGCGATCCGCGTACTTRGGGTGCAATTGACARCACAAGGACGRCCGATAGGCMATGATGATTGGCTCACATCCCCGRCCTTGACTAAACTATCGCAATGGAATCACAARCACACTTCACTCTTCGGCCGCGCGCTRGTAATCAACAATGYGGTGCTGGCCACRTTATGGTACAAATCGGTACTGTGGCCGCTCAGTGACCCAGCCCAGAAAGCACTAAAGAGAAAGGTGGCGGCCTACCTGTGGCGGGGAGACARTGAAAACAYGAGCGSTATCAGCCGRGTGGCATGGGACTCTGTAGTGCAACCAAAATCCAAAGGAGGACTAGGTATCTTGGACCCGGCAACGCAGGTGCTGGCACTGGTACTACAATGGGTGATACGGTTGATCTTCGAAACCGTCCTGGTTTGGAGACCCTTGGCCTATGAACAGCTGGTAAGACTGGCGCCAGCAGCCCCCCCCTCAGTACATCCCTTAAGCTGGCTGGATGACCGATACTGGACTGTCCCCCGGGCGGCTAGAGGGGATGCACATAGTAAGGCTGACCTTCGGCACGACCTACCAAAAGACGATTTCTAGCCCAGACTTCTCAAAACGTGGAGGAGACTCCCCCTACCGCAACGTCCGCCTCCGGAACGGTGGGAGGAGGTAGCCAGGCAACCCCTCTTTGGAAACTCCCCCATAACCAACTCCCATGGCAATATATTCTGCAGCTCCGAATCCCCATGGAAAGGCTGGGTCAAGAATGGACTCACGAGAGTTGGAGATTTGTGGGACGGAGCAAAAAAGGACTGGAAAGATCAGAACCAGATGAGGGAGAGTCAGAGATACTGTCATAACATAGAAAAGCACTTGGGAACCATCACGGAGGCCCTCCCGATTGGGTGCGATCTATCCTCAGAAAAGGACGCAAACTCCAAGAGGGAGACTGGGTGGGACAGACAGAGAACCCCGGACAGACGAGACAAATTCACCTTGTGCACCCAGCAGACGCCCTGGTAGAGTGGTATACAATAGGAAGAAGAGGAGAGCTGAAGGGCAGCCCAGACTCTTTTGTATGGATTCAGCATGACCATCTATTCAGGGTTCGTATGATAGGAGAAGGGGAGGCACGACGAGCGTTTATGCCCGAGACCCCGCTGTCCACACTTCCTTTGGACCCACTAGAATGACAATGGACCCCCCAGATAAGGGCCAAAGGCAGTACCACGAAACCACGCACATTGGCCAATCTCACGGTAAAAGGTTCCTATAGGATGCTCAGAGTCAGCCGAGAGCTGAAGAACGTGATCATCGATAGGTGGCAGAAGCACCTCAATGTGGATAGAAACCTTCTTACACCAATACGGTGGTTTCAAGACTGCAAGTGCAGGCCGGCAAAAATCACCTCGCTCCAATGGCAAATCGCCCACCGCTGCCTTCCTACAAACAACTGGCTGATCAACCATACTCAGTTGGAACAGCAAGGCAAAGCCCTAGCATGGTGCACACGCTGCCTGCAGGGATTCCCGGCCAGGAAAAGACCGGAAACAATCGAACACATTTTTTTGCAATACCCAACTGCCACCCTGACATGGAGATGGTGGGATAGGATTTGGAGACAAATGTTCCCAAATCAGGAGTGGCCCTGGGACTGGAGAGCAATCCTGTTAGGCCATCACCCATCCTCACAAGAAGATACATTCGAAAGGAACATGTTCTCCTTGGGTAGGAAGACGGTACTGTGGACCCTGTGGTGGCAACGTTGCGCGCTGGTGTTAGAAGGACATAGGGTGGAGGGAGAAGAAAGGAGGGATCTATTTAAAACCCATTTCCAAATGGAACCGATGCAAAGGTGGCAGGAGACTAAAAAAACGTTAGATACCCTCCACACAGGCAAGGACATATCGACCAAGATTACTCAGTTCGCAGAAGAATGGTTAGGGGGGAAGAGGGAGGGATGGGTAGGAAGAGTTCACTGGTCAGGAGAGAAGGGCGGGGAGGACAGAGAGGAAAGCATGCGCGACGAAACCCCCCGAAACTATCACCTTTCCTTCAAGAACTGGACAGACGTGGACCCTAACACTCCCATGCGTCCCGCAGAGGACTTCCCGGACCCCTTCCCACCGCACCCGCTGGCTCTGGAGGAAAGGCTCTGAGACAGAATGGTCCGACACAGCCAATTCCTAGCTTACCTCTACCTTCTCCAACCTGCAATTTCCTCCCCGACACAGCCAATTCCTAGCTTACCTCTGCCTTCTCCGACCTGCAATTTCCTCTCCCCTTTTTTTTTTTTTTTTTTTTTTTTTTTTTTTTTTTTTTTTTTTTTTTTT